GGGGTTAGAAATGCTCCGACAGCGGTCGGTCACTGTAAAATAAATGCCGACAACAGCAATTACAATTAAAAGGCAGCTGGAGAGTGGGGGCTTGAGAAGCGAGATGTGAGATGTGAGTGTGAGATGTGGGATGGGGGATGGGGTTGAGAAGGTTGGCTCAACTATAGCCTCCATAAATCTGTAGGTCACTTGGCAGTTGTAAATGGCAATGTCTCTATAAAAGTGCGGCAAGCCATTCGACCAAGTCCATTTCAAGCTGCATTTGCAGCTCGGAAGTGTTTTACGGGCTCCATTTCAAAGGAGAATACCGATTAGAGTGTAACTTTTTAGCATTTAACTAAAACGTAGGAAAGATAGTTAACCATTAAATGAGAGCACAGTGTTTGTTATTTATGGAATCTATAAGGTGCAGCACATTTTATTTATTTATTTATATATAATGCTAGCTTACAATTAAAAACTTCATCATTATGTTAGACATGGCTTCCAGGGCCTTCAGCTAACTTTGTACGTACATTTTGAAGTATTAAAGAAAAAAGTTGGAATACATACAAGTATAAACTCGTCCTTACTCGGATCTAGGAGAATCTGGATGCCAACTTTGGTTATTCTAGCTTTTTAGTTTCTGAGATCCTCGCGTTCATCCAGACGGACGGACAGACGGACGGACAGACGGACGGACATGTCTAGATCGATTTCTCTCGTCATGCTGATCAAGAATATATATACTTTATGGGGTCGGAGATGCTTCCTTCTGTATGTTACATACTTTGCACAAACCTAATATACCCTTTTTACCCTAAGGGTACAGGGTATAAAAAGTATTTCAGTTTTGAGTCGTGAAACACACACTTTTCTTACAATTATCAAATAATTTTAAATAAATGTAATTATGTATGATGACTGTGTTGAAGCACATTTGACTTTATTGTCATTCAAGATTCAAATAAAACAAGTGGAGAAGCTAATGTCTGCTGTGCCGACTTTGAAATACTCTTTACTATACATATGTGTAGACTAATTATAATAATGAAAATTAAAAAAAAAAAAAGTATACGATTTTGTAATCGAATCTAAATTCTTAATCAGCATGAGAAGACGAGTAGATCTATGTCTGTCTGTCTGTGCGTCTGCCCGTCCGCCGTCCGTTCGTCCGTCCGTATGTACTTATACCTGGATCTCAGAAACTATAAGAAATTTTCCATGCGTGTTCGCAGTGCAAGTCCGTTTTACTTTTCTTATTTACCGCCCACTCCCCCGATAATGGGAGTTCGTATAATCACCTATATCTCCGAGACTATAGGACCTAGCGATGCCAAATTTTAGTCGAAGATGCATTATGAAATGTGCATTTCTGAATTTTCATCTCTCCCCCCTTTCCCACGCAATTGGTAATTTTACATAGCTCTCGTAATTCTAGAAATTTTTGACAAATTCGGAAAATACTTTTAACTATTGATTATGAATCTATATGTTAAGTTTCATCATGATAGGCCAAAGGAAGTTATAGCCATATATGTTACCTCTGCTCAAGCGCAGCCCGCAGCTGTTGTTATTATTGCTGCTGCTTTGGTTCAACTTTGTGCTGCATAGATGATCACACAGACATGAATAGACATGCATAGACATGCATACATTCACATAGACACAGTTCCTATGTAAATGTGCAATTATTCACCCTTTACGTGAGTTCGAATACCAAGGGATGTAAAATCGATCGAAATTTTTTTTAAATTTTCATCATTTTTTTTAAATTTCTATAATTATTCTACACATATGTTCAGAGTACGTACTATAAAAGTCGGGACACCCAACTTTAGCTTCTCCGCTTGTTTTATCCTGACGATGTCAAGTGGTTTTCCGTAAACATGTGTATTTCTGAGCCTTTCTTTGTGCGTTGTATTGTGCAGCCACCCTTAACCGCTGTCGCGGTCCATTTTCTATATGCATTGCGTTGGTCTGCGGCATTACTGGCTATATTTTAGGCAGGGATTTCTGTAAAGCCTACCTACTGCATTGCATTGTAGTGCATCTTGCAAAGGGCACTAGGAATATGTTCACTTTTGTGAATGATGGGATATAACAATATACCCAATATTCGAAGGATATACAAATAGGAATGAATGCAGGAAATTTAAATTAGGAGGCAAATATTGTCGAAATGCTTGTTTCTTGTCAAAACATATATTTCTTTTTTGCTTTTGACAAACATACTGTTGAAAATGTCGCCGGCCGAGACGCAACCGCAGGGGAAGACCCGGAACAACTTTCAAAAGCTTGGAATATTGATCTTGAAGAATATAACCGTACAGCTGGCGCACAAGTGCCAGATGAGTTTAGCAGTAATATTACCCATTGTGGCTGCACTGCTAATAACCTTGCTTGGGAAGTATGTTCAACCCGAACCAATTGATATGACTGAAACTCACGATGTCGATACTAATTTTACACTGTACGTATATGCTTAGCTCTTGAACTTCTGAAACGATTGTAGAAACTTTTAAGGGCTCGGTCCAATCTGTCCGTTTTCTTGTAAGTTGTAACTTTTTCCCCACAGTTGAAAAGCGATTGATTTTCCAGTCGATTCAAAAAACAAGTGGAGAAGCTAAAATCGAGTGTCCCAACTTTGAAATACTCTACATATGTGTATAATAATTATCTTGTCTATGCGTGTTTGTGTGCCTGTGTATGTCTCGTATCCCTATGCAAAGCAGCAGCAACAGCAACAGCTGCGGGCAGTATTTGGCCTGAGATTATAAATATGGCGATAACTACCTGTTAAATCGGCCCATCATAATGTAACTTAGCTACGAACTCATAGCTACTAACTGGAGATATTTGCCAAATTCGAAATTCCTAGAAATACGGAAGTTATGGGCAAATGCTCGATGCGGTGGAGAGGGGAAAGAGAGGGAAATTTCATAAGACACATTCGGGACATAAAATAAACTTGCACAGCGCACACACATAAGACATCTTTGTGCAAAATTTGGTGACTCTAGCTCTTATAGTCTCTGAGATCCAGATGTTCATACGGACAGACAGACTTAGAAGCTTAGAAGCGACTTCCCATGAATAGTTCAGCGACAGCTTTCTAATCATAATAAGCCGCAAATATGAATAACAAGAGAAAACGCTACAGTCGAGCAAGCCCGACAGTGAAATACCCTGTACCCAGGAAAACTTCCGTCACTGAGTTATATGCGCCCATAGCAGAAGTAAAAGGAGGAAGATCACGAGCGAACTTGTTGCTGCAGTTTGGGGGGGGTTGTACTGGAGAGAATTTGTTTCGCTAATAACTTTTCTTAGAATTGACCGAAATGGATAACATTTTAAACAACAGTAGATAATTATAATATTATTAATTATGTGTTTGGTTTAGGTAGCAATTGAAATTGGGACGCTATTGACGAAATTCTGTAGCGGGGGAAGGGGGGGAAAATTAAAAAAAATAAAATAAACTCGTCCTTTCTCGGACCTAGGAGAATCTGGATATCAACTTTGGTTGTTCCATCTTTTATAGTTCCTGAGATCCTTGCGTTCATCCAGACGGACAGACGAACGGACAGTCGGACATGTCTAGATCGTTTTCTCTCGTCATGCTGATTCAGAATATATATACTTTATGGGGTCGGAGATGCTTCCTTCTGCATGTTACATACTGTGTACAAACCTAATATACCCGTTTTACCCTACGGGTACAGGGTATAAAAACAATACAATACGATAGAGCAATAATCCTAAAATCGTTTTATCTTCATTGTTCAATATCTCATATGTAGTGATACATACAAGTATATGCATTGCCGATTAATCTAACTTCATTTAATAGTGTTTCGTTTACGGAATCCTCATACTCGTATGTCGTATACTCACCAAAGAATCCACTTATCGAACGTGTAGCTAAGAAGGCTGCGAAAGTACTGGAAGTCACAGACTTGCGAGGTTTTGACAATGACCTCGAATTGGAGAAGCATCTGCAAGGTAGGAAGGATTCTGTCGGCATTGGGTTTGATAATACGCTTACTGATATGAAGGAGTTTCCATCCAAGATTGACATTACCTTGTCTTTTCCAAAAATGGAGATTGAATCGGACGTAACAAATCCTGACTATGATGAAGTAGCTATAGGTGAAATCTGTGCTTCGCCTTATTGCAATGGGTTTCTAAGCGTGCAGGACACCTTGAGTAGAGAATTGATCAGGGAAAAGTCATCTGATAAGATTCCACCCATGGTTTTTATCCAATTTTTCACATTATCTTCAGATCCGTCAAGTAACATATTGACTGGTATTATAAAGATTGGCGCTTTCTTCCTATTTTTAATACATGCATATCCTTGCGCGTGCATTGTTCAGGTACGTAGACGCCAACATGTTTATTCTTCTGTGAGTGAACACATCATTATGAAATCTTTTAATCACCCGCATAAGATTCAATATCCAAAAAAATTTATTGTTTTGAAGGAAAGTCCGAACTAGGCATTTTCTGCATAGTTGCATGAGACACTTGAACTAAAATTTGGAGTCCCTAGCTCTTCGAGTATCTGAGATAGAGGTATTTGTACGAACTGTGTTAGGGGAGGAAGTGGAGGGTGTATCAAAAAAAAATACAAAATTTGGTGCCTCTATCTCTTAAAGTTTCTGAGATCCAGGTGTTAATATGGACGGACAGACAGGGCAAGATCGACTCGCCTTGTCATGATGATCAATAATATATATACTTTGGGGGGACCGCCGCACCTCCTTTAGCCTGTTCAATTGTTCACCTCCCGCAAACCTAATATAATCTTGTACATTTCAAGCACCGAGTATATATACCCTTTACGTAGTTTCTTTGAATTGCAGTCATGACTCTGAATTATAGGCTCATTTAACGCTCATTGGAACAATTAAAAGGAAACTGATGAGCACTCACAACATTATAAATGTATTATATTTTCTTTTTATCAGTAATCGGTGCATTCATTGATTTTCTTTCAGACCTTGTTGACCGAGAAGAATAACCAGATAAAGGTCACTCTGGCAATTATGGGTGTGCCAGTCTGGCTACACTGGCTGGGCTGGTTCATAAAGTGGCTTCTATTGTTGGGCATAGGGGCAGTTGGGGTGTCGTTAATTTGGGGACTGCTGGGACCACTTGCTTTTACCAGCTTTCTAGTCATTCTGCTTATCCTGCTTGTGTACATAATACACATCATAAGTTTCGCTTTTTTATTAACCTCTATTTTTATGAGTACCATTAAGGGAACTTTGGTATGTTATTTGCTATACATTTCTCAATATGTTCCCTTCATGGTTACACCATATTATTGTCCCCATATAGCAAAGATTATGGAGTGTCTACTTTTAAATAGTGGTATGGGTTGGGCATTTGTGACAGTGGCAGATTTTGAGGGCAGTAGGAACAATTTGGGAATTGGCACATTGTTTACGCCTATTAAGGGAAGCTTATCAGTAGGAACTGTAATGGTTCTAATGCTCCTAGGGTGTCTGATAAATATGATTCTGTGTTTGTACTTTGAGCAAATACGTCCCGGAAATATTGGCATAACTAGAAAATGGAACTTCCCGTTCACGCGCACGTTTTGGTGTCCGCGTCGAGAGCCTGGAGCTGACAAAAATGGCGATTGGGATGAGGAAAAAGGGGCGGATACGCGTAGAGAAAGTATTGAAAACAATTTTGAGGCTGAGCCAAAAGGGAAGTCGATGGTTGTGCAGGCCCAGCATTTGACGAAGTCCTTCGATGGCATCAAAGTTGTGAAGAATTTTTCATTGAATCTGTACGAAGATGAGCTTACAGTCCTGCTGGGCCATAACGGAGCTGGAAAGACGACAACTATAATGATGCTGACTGGAGTTTATAAGCCCACGTCTGGGCGGGTGATAATCAATGGCTATGATATGGCTACGGCTCCAGAAAAGGCCCGTAACTCGCTCAGTATCTGCCCACAATATAATGTCCTCTTCGATGATCTGACAGTGGAGCAGCACATTAGGTTCTTTTGTACCATAAAGGGCCTGAAGAAGAATGAAATTAATGAAGAGATTCAAAAGTATGTGCTTTTATTGGGTCTCACATCCAAAGCCCAGGTCCGATCACGAAAACTTTCCGGTGGTATGAAGCGCAAACTTTCAATATGCTGTGCACTCTGCGGTAATACGCGCGTGGTGTTCTGCGATGAGCCCAGCACTGGACTGGACCCATCGGCGCGTCACGATCTGTGGAGTATTCTGCAGAATGAGAAAACCGGACGGTGCATTTTGCTAACAACACACTATATGGACGAGGCAGAAGTATTGGCCGATCGTGTAGCCATAATGGGCGATGGTGAACTGCGTGGATATGGTACTGCATTCTTTATGCAACAAAATATTAGTGCAGGCTATCAACTGGTAAGTTGATCATATCTTTAGAGTTATAGTACACTTACAAGGGATTCGTGGCTAAGCTAAGCTGTGAAACGTGCTGTGTAACTCTTGTTAGTAATCAGATTTATTTAAGGATTGCTTACAACGACTGAACCCACTACTTCTCAATAGATATGCGTACAGATGGAGGACTGTGATGTAGACAAAGTTACAACATTTCTGAAACGTTATATTCCTAAAATAACGCTAGAACACACTGTGGGTACGGATCTCATCTATCGCCTTCCAGTACAGGAAACCTCTAAGTTTGAGAAAATGTTTAAGGATCTGGAGAATAATCTGGAGGACTTACGATTACATGGCTTCGGTCTGAATCCCTCAACGTTAGCCGATGCTTTTATGAAAATCGGTACGACAAAAACCAAATTTCTTCCGGACGAAGAAGACTCTCGAAAAGCAACTGCCTGGGGTTCACAGACTGGTGAGTGTAGATGCAAGAGTTGGGCATTCCCAGAGAAAGACTCTAACCTTTTTAAGGCTATCCCAGAGATAATTAATATAACAGCAGTTAGTTATGCTGTCGTGCCCATCTCTAATAAAAGAATATGCGAGTTTTCATTAAAGGGGACATTCAGGGTTTCAGATAAGGGACGACATAAAGAAAGAGGCAGGAAGGAAGTGTATGTGCTGCGATCACTTCCCACCCATGATGCGGAAGAAAATACTGCACACCTATCGAAAAAAGTGCATATTTCTGGTATTTATTTTGCTGCCGGTGATAACGTTTTTACTAGTTGAAATAGTCGTAAGACTAGTGCCATCTAAAAAAGAATCGTTAAAATTGGATTTAACCCCATTCCGCAATCCGATGGTAATGTTTCATACAACAGCCAGCACAGAGCCATTCAAATCGATAGCGGAGCGTTACAAGTCGCTCGCAGAGAGCAGCGGGGCCAAAATAAAGATTGATTCTGAAATTCAAGAATATACAAAAGGTCTATCCAAAGACAAATTGAAAACATTCCAAAAATCATGTGTGGGGGGAGCTACGATTACAGACGATTTGATGCTAGCCTGGATAAACCCAGCGCAGACTCACTCGGCTCCTATTTCACTCAATCTGCTCTATAATGCTATTGCCAAGGTCCTAGTTGGGGATGATATGGAAATCGGGATTACGAATAAGCTAATAAAAAAAAAAGCAGATGCTGAATCAAGTTCTCTTGCTGGGTATATTATATTATTCATGGCGCTTGATATCGCCCTCTTTATCATGATGCCCATTGCAGAACGCTATTCACAGACCAAACTGCTGCAGATTGTCAACGGTTTGGCCCATTGGAACTACTGGCTGACTCACTTTGTATGGGACTATCTGATTTATTTGGTCATGTCATTAGTATTTGTCATAATTTTGTTGATTGATTCTCAGAGCTTTATGTTGGAGATAGTAATCCTTCTTATTTTGTTCGGCCTCGCGGGGCTACCGTTTACTTATCTGAACTCTATGCTTTTTAAGTTATCAACCGTAGCGTTTATCGTCTATAGTATTCTGAATTTGTTAATAGGTGAGTCCAGTATATGGCATGATTGTTTTTATACCTACTTCATTGTTACCTTCAGGTGCAATTATATTTGAAATTGCGTACTCTGTCCGTGAAAAATATCCTATTTTTGATACCATTTTGATTATCTTTCCTATGTATGCATTGGCCGATGGCCTTAAAATAATATTATACAACATTGAGAAAGTGGAATCTAAACAATGTGAAGGGGATCCGGAGGGATGCAAAGACGCCCTAAAATCAATTATGACATGGAGACCAACGCATTTTTTAATAATAGAAGCGTTGCTTTACTTTGCATTGTTGATGCTCCTCTCTGTATATTCGAGACGGTTGAGGTATTGCTTAAGAAAACTGAATCATAGAAGGTGGTGGGTAGTTCTGACATCCTTTCCTAAAGCTCATTCATATTTGTGATTGCGTTTGTTAGGCCTAAACTAGTAGACAATGAGGAAAAGGATAAGGATGTATTGAAGGAGGAGCAGCGTGTTTCAGAGATGACTGAGGAGGACATTGAGGCTCAAAATCTAGTGCTTGATCACGCAGTGAAGGCATATAAAAAGTTAATAGCAGTGCGGGAAATTTCGCTGGCCGTGAAGCCGTATGTAAGACGCAGTGGCGCCTCGATTTATTGCGTTTGAAATGGTTCTCTCAATAGATATGAGTGTTTCGGGCTACTTGGATTGAATGGCGCCGGAAAAACTAGCACCTTTAACATGATCGTTGGCGAGCAATTGATCGACAGCGGCAACATATTTATCAAGGGGATCAGCGTTAAGTCGAATGCGTGCAAAGCCTTAAAACATGTCGGCTACTGTCCCCAAAATAATACGTACTGGAACTTTTTGACAGGACGCGAGAGTCTGCATATAATTTTCCAGTTGCATCGCGTTAAAAAAGCGGATGTCAATGATTTGGTGGAGCAAGTGGCTAAATATTTTCAATTTCAGGAGCATCTGGACAAAATGGTCCGTAATTACAGCGGCGGTACAAAACGAAAATTTACCAGCGCCCTGTGCGCCCTGGGACCAACATTAATGTGCCTCGACGAGCCTACGACAGGCATTGATCCGGCGGCGACGCGTGATATCTGGGGGGTTCTGACACGCATGCGGGATTCGGGTAAATCGCTGATGCTTACCTCACACAGCATGGAGGAGTGCGAGGCACTGTGCTCGCGCTTAGCCATTATGGTGAACGGCCAGTTTTGTTGCCTTGGCTCCCTTCAGCACATAAAAAGCCGTTTCAGCATGGGTATGGTTATTCAGATTAAAGTGTGCGCCAAGGATGAGTTGGACAGGGCCAAGGCAAACATGAAGTGAGTTTTGAATCATTTAGCAGTTTCGTACTCATGCATCCGCTTTGATGAAACATATATTATTCAGGAGAGAGAGCCAAGCGCAGTCTGATATTGAAAAAAGAAAATCAGCTTCTAGAAGCTCGGCTACTACCCCTATACAGTCAGAGGAGGAGGCCACGACCAGAAACACCATTAGCAGCTCTACAAGCGGCGAAAACAAAGATGACGAGCAAAGGACGAAAAGGGACAAAAAGGTGGAAGAGAAAAAGAGGCGTGGGTCGGCTTCACCAACACAGCCAGACAAAAAGGTGGACAAGACGGACCGTCCGTCCACATCGCAAGAAACAGTAAAATCAAATAGAACTGAAGGTGACAGCGATAATTTAGAAGCCCTCATCGATAAAGTGGTGGAGAGTTTGACTGAGAAATTTCCCGATATAAAAGTAGTGTAAGTGTGGTTCAATACAACTAACAATCAAACACACTTTACTGAATCAGCATCCACCACTTTAGAGAACAAAACGGCTATCGCGGCATGGTCACAATGCATTTGCCCAACAAAGATGTCAAATGGTCTGAAATTTTTGGTTATCTTGAGAAAAAACGGGAAAAGCTGCAAATATTTAGTTACTCTATTTGTCAGACGTCTCTCCAGGAAATCTTTATAAAGTTTGCAAATGATCAAAAATAAGGAAGAGCCATTTTATTCAAAATTACTAAATATGATTTTGTTCGAAAATAAACAAAAAATGTTCACTGAACTCCCAAGAAACCTTATTTTAGGAATGAGTCGAGCGACTCCTCTACAGCAGGCTCTGCCCCGGTCCCCTCTCTCAACTAAAGTACAACTCTAATGCAGTGATTCTTTAGCATCCACGAGGTACGTGTATATGGTTGGAGTATTACGATGATTCTAGCGAACCTTCATTAGAGCGTGAGACAGTTATATTAATGCAAGGAACTCGCAACATATATGACCTGGAATAAACCAACTTGCTGTACATGTTCTCCTGAGTCCTGGGCAGAAGATGTTTGTATTCCTACACTTCCCCGCCCGTAACTCCTTGGCAATTACATCATTGTTCTCGTCATGCTGATTAAGAATATGGAACATCTGATTCTAAAAACCTATTTATATACATATTCATAATCATCAGAAACCTTGAGACAGCACCTACTTGTATGTTTAAGGAATTCCAAATTATTCGCTTACTTCTCATACGATCTAATAAATATTATTTTATAGTTTAATTTTTGATTCATTTATGGGAGCACTATATGATCCCTTATTCCATCATAAAATTAATAAAATCCACTCATCAGATCATAACCATTAAATAATTTCATTATTTCATCGTAATTAAAAGTAATCCCAATCGGCCCCACCCCAACTCACAAGCTACTATTTATTTAAATGAATTAACACTTTCTCAAATCTTATCCATCTTGCTTCAAAATTAAATCTCTAGATATGAAAAGATAGCTTTTATTGCGTTAAAACCTTGTTCCAACCATGAAGCACCCGGCCTTTAAGTTGCCCAATATTTTCTGAAAAGCCATTCCTGTTTTATGCTTAGCTAGCTCGTTACTTCCTCACCATTGATAACGCTTCTAAAATTCGTTGTACGAGTATAAGCTTGCTGGCGTACTTGGTTTTTATGGGGACCCTTTAAACATTTCACAACTTCAAACATCAGAGAAACGGCCGCCCATCAAGTAAGTGCATGGAATGTACATAACATTTTATGTACAATAAAACTTTTTGCAACTATACAGAAAGCTGTATGTATGTCAAATGAATTTATATCATCAGCACTTCATTTTAATACCAGCACGCAGCATACCAACACAGGGCAAGACCCAACGCAGCCAAACCAGACCAGATCAGACCAAGCCCAGGCGAGACCAGCCAACTAGAACAAACACACAACTGTCAGAAGTTTGTGTCTCTGACATTAAATTAATTTGTTGCCTACAACTTTGGCGCCAAAATAGTCCCCGTGGGTAGTGATAACCGAAAAAACCGACGAACCACAGACCGTTTTATGGAACGGGTCCAAGCAAAAACTTGTTAAAGATGGGAATAACAAGAAAAGTTTTAAATCATTCGACGTTCCGCGCACTAAGAACAGAAAGTTGCAAGAGAGAGGGAAGAAAAAAACTATAATAGAGCACGATTTTTGTGGCAAGGGCGTCGAGTGGCAATCTCTCAAGCTTGTTGTTGTTGCTGTTCTTGAAACTGGTTATAGGCACAAAGTGTATGTTGTTATTGGACGAAGGGGCAGGCCAAAATGTTTGTTGCAGGCTTGGCGCGTGTCTGTGGCAACTTCATGCGAGTGTCAAGGTTATGTTTACTCGAGCAGCTGACAAAATTATGGCACAAACACACACACACACACACACATGCACATATTGAAGCAGCAGCGAGCATATGTGACCATCCCTAGTGACGAACAATACATGTGTCTTGGGCTCTTAAATCTTTGCCCTAATAGGCGCCGCTTTGGGAAATGTTATGGGCCTTGCCTCAACAATGCCACATGTTGGCCCACTAAAGGTTCTGTCTTAGAGATGGACATGAGCTGTGCTTTTGAAAGTAAAATCGCGCCCGAGAAACACACAACGAAAATATAGGAATGGCCGGATTAAAAAAGAAAAACATTAAAAAGGAAAAGCCAAGATACATAATAACAATTCATATTCGATGAAGCTTAAAACTTGAAACATTTTTCACTTAACATTTTTTTCAGCAAAGTAAGAGTGAGTTCAATCGAGTGCAGTAAAAGTCGACTCCAAAACCAAAAGCGACTCGTAACACAAAAACGATATTTCATCTATGGTTTATTTTATTTTTTCATTGGTTATTCTTAACATTTAAATATGAAATGAATTTTAATAATCGAATAAGGGTTTTGAAATTACAAAATTTGCTTCTAAACAATTCTATACAGGGTATGATATTTGTTATTCAAATTAAAGCTATTTGAATTATTAAATCAATAGTTTTTATACATTTAATATTGGTATCAATTATATTTAATTAACGAACAAAACAATATATACTCGTTTTTCAACTATTCTTACTTTTGGATGTTGATGTGCAACTGCCAATCATATTTTATTCGCACATTTTCTTTGAAGCTTAAATATATATTTAGTGAATATACATATTAAAATTAATTTACTTAATTTTTATTTCATAATTCGAAGTAAATAACATTGTGTATTATATTTTACTCAAGGAATCTGTTGAATCTGAAAAAGTCTGCCAATGCCCATCTCTAATCTATGCATTTGTATATCGCCTTAAGTACCAATAGCTGCTTGTTAATTAGTGCGCGTCTTTAATTTGTGTGTGTGTGTGTGTGTGTGTGTGTGTGTGTGTGTGTGTGCAGTGTTCCATCCACTGTCACACACAAACACGCACAAAACTTTCAAAACATTAGCAACAACTCACACAACTTGCTGATCATTTGCTCTCTATCTCTCTCTCTCTCTTCATATATTTATATATCTGTATTCCACTCCCACTCCGAGTCTTCCTCAATTACGCACTCAAGAGCAGATGAAATTGCATCGCCAACAACTTCATTAAAAAGACGGAAATACTGGAAAGTACGGCAGAGGTAAACCAATTACGCTGCACCAAATGTGATTAGCGTGCAACGCATAAACAAGACAGCTGTGTGCACTGGGGCAGCCCAACTACTACACTTAGAGAAAAGAAGCTTAGTGTCAGAGTAAAGCAGCTTAGATGACTGATGAATTCGTGCACCACATGTGGTTAGGTTTGGGAAAAGTTTTTCATGTGCCGAATGGGGACTGACTCCCTTTTTCTATGCAGTGTATGGTATGACTCTTAATTCATGGTTAAATCGATGGCCAACCTAAACATAAATATTCAAATAGAAAAAAAAAATAATGTAATCTATGCGTTCCATTAACAGCATAGAAATTTAATTGGAATGACTATGGTAATTTTAAATTGATTTTAAATGATGGTACTTTGTTAAATATAATAAGTACTTACGATGGTTGCCCCGCTACTATGATAATTTCGATCCTCCTCTTCCTCTTCATATCACTTGAAGCTTCAAGCTTAGTAATTAACCAATTTTTAAAGATAAATGGCAATCATATATGAGTATGTACATCTCAAATTGTAAGACCATTTTATTGTGCTTTACCCAACTCTTTAAGTAAATCTTTAAAAAAAATATATAAATTTATTAATGTTTTTTTTTGGAAAAAATTATTTATCAATATGTTAAAAAGAAGACCAAAGTCAGAACAGCTGACCAAACCAAATATTATAGCATCTGTACAAAGGTCCAATATCAAAATAAAATGATACAATATTCAGTTTAAAATAAAAGGGCAACTTATAAGAGACAATTCGCATAAATTAAAATAAATATTACTAGAGACTCTTAACTTATGATGAACCCAATTTTAATAAGCTTTAATTTGTTCTATTTTAAATCTACAAGCCAAATTTTTATTTGTCCACATATGAACAATATGATATATTTCTATTACACCATTACCCTTTACACACTGTTCTTGTACTTCCTTTTCCATTATATTACTTGAAAGTAATTTTGTAGCTTACTCGTCCTCTCATACTTTATCCTTTAAATTCGTACATTATCTTGAGTTTTTAAATGTAATTCAAAGTTTTGCAGATGAAAAGAAAAATGAAAACAACTTAACATGATCTATCAGAATGTGGTATTGATGATGGTATTTGATGTAAATTAAATGTTTCGTTGAGTGCATTTGTCATTGGCAATGGCGGAAGCAGCAGCAGGAACATCATCAGGAAAAGCAGCTGTTTAAATTAGAGCAACTAAACGAACCATCGACCGCCTGACGGTGAGTGAAATAAAGTTACTGGTGACTGGGTTGGGCCATTGAAGGCGCATAAACAGTTTTACGAGCGAATTTTATAAGCAAGAACGAGAAACAAACTGCTGCACGACAATATCGGAGGGGGAGGAGTACGGTGAGGACGTTGAGGAGCTTGTTAAAGAGTTCGAGTCCGCGACATGTGCAAAGGCAGGACGAGTGGCACGTTGAGTTCTGGCTCTGTTTGAGTGCTTGGACATTCCGAAATATGCTGTGACATGCACTTAAATCAATTTACGTGCACTGCCCAACCGTTTGCCTCTTTACGGTCATTTCCGAGTTACGAGCTACTCCTGTAAACTCGCAATGGTCTGCTGCACTAAAACTGAGCCAAGAAAACTATTAAATCGTGCGCATCGACATCGACATTGGCTTCGTCGCCAACGTCAACGCCAACGTCAACGCCAGCATCAGCATCAGAGTCCGTCGAGTCGTTCAGTTTTGTGCACTTGCAGTAAATTAAATTTCCCATAATAGACTACTAACATGCTTTTCAGCATCTTGTTGCTGGCAGTATGGCAGACTAGATGGCCAGCCAGCTAAAACTCTTGCATCATGCAGCAAACTTGCCTCCGCCTTTGCTGCTAAACTTTGCATATTTTCAGTGACATTCATTCGCTGTACACATACGCACAAATGTTCATTTATAGGTTACAGTAGAGATAGCTTTTCAAAAAACCTCACCCTCTGTAGAGTATAGAGCTCAATTAGCTACTCTTCTCCAAATACGAATACATTTTGTTCCATATCGAATGATCTGTCTCATTTGCAAGAGGATTACTT